TTTACAGATATAAATTACAATGGCAGCTCTAGGACAAAGTATGCAGGAGGAGAAGCATGGCAAAGTTCAGATGACTTGGATGGGAAACGAATCACAATAGTACTGACAAATCATTAAAAAATATATAAAAATCAGGAAAGATACAGTTCAAGGAATACAGTTAAAAAGATGTGTCTTCAGCCTGCTCTTAAAGAGAGCAACAGTCTCTGCAGCCCTCACATTCTCAGGCAGACCGGTCCACAGATGAAGGTGTTGAAAAGAAGCCTCTCTGTATGTGTGTGTATGTGTGTGTATGTGTGTAACTGTTAATAGTCCAGTTTCAGAGGATCTCAGGGTTTTTGGCGGTTCATATGGTAATAACAGTTCAGCCAGATAAGATGGTGCAAGACAATTAAGACATTTAAAAACCAGTAAAAGAAACTTAAAATCAATTCTAAGACATACAGGGCGTCAGTGCAATGATTTTAAAACAGGTATAATATGAGCCTGCCTTCTGGTCTTGGTTAGCACACGAGCAGCGGAGTTTAACAACAGCTGCAGACTAGACAGATTTTTCTTAGGACGACCAGAAAGCAGTGCCTTAGTCTAATCTAATCAACTAGAAAAAAAAGAATGTATTAAAATCTCAGTATTGGCTGAAGACTGAAGAGGGCGGACTCTGGCTAYATTTTTCAAAYRATAAAATCCTGTTTAAACAGTCTGTTTAATATGTGGAAGAAAATTAAGCTCAGAATCAAAAATAACCTCCAGACTTCTGACTTGTTTGGAAGGATAAAAAGATGCAGCTTGTAATTTTGAAATTGTCTTTTCATTTTGATCATCCAGTACAATAATTAGAACTTTTGTTTAGTCTTGATTAAACTGGAGAAAGTTCTGATCCGTCCATGTCTTTATGTCTGAAATACATTTAAGAAGTACAACAACTGGCTGTGGGTCATCACGAGACATGGAAATATTTAGCTGTGTGTCATCAGCATAACTGTGGAAGCTTATTCCATGACTCCTGATGATCCCGCYCAGTGGCAGCATATACAGATTAAAAAGTAAGGGACCTAAGATAGACCCTTGGGGGACACCTGAGGAGCAACTTTTCATATTTACTAAAAAGATCTGTCTAAAAGACAGGAGCTGACCCACTGCAGAACAGTACCTGAAAGGCCAACCAAATGTTTTAGTCTATTTAAAAGTATTTGGCACAAACTGCAAATAAACTCCTGAAAATATGACTAAAAGAAAAGAAAATTAAACTTCAAGCTCAGTTTAAATGTCTTCTTTTAATAAAGAGTTTTATCATAATAAAAATGTAGAATGCTTCTGTGGTTGATGATTAAAACAAACCATTTTAAAGTATAGCTGCAATATATGCAAGACATTACAGACAGTACAGGATTCAACTAGAGCAGGGCTATTCAACAGGAGGCCCGCGGGCTGGATGTGGCCACGAGTGACCAAAATGTGGCCTCAGAGAGGCCACATTTGTTAGCATCAGAGAGGCTAGTGACTAGCATGGATAAGCTGGTGTTAGCATCAGAGAGGCTAGTGACTAGCATGCCTACTAGGCTGTTCACCTACTAGACACTTATTTGTTGAATAAATAAATCTTTCCTTATAAACTAAAAAGAAAAATTGTCAGGACTGAAGTCAGGACTCAGGAGAACTGGTTAATACTTTTATATTTACTGCTTACTCTTTAATTAAATGAGTTACAACACCTAATTTCCCTCTGGGATCAATAAAGTATGTTTGAATTGAACTAATTTATATAAATATACTGTATGTTTTACTTACGTTAATTTATTTCTTTTAATGTTTTTTTCAATCACCATWTATGTGTATTTGCTCTCTGTGGTTTGCCCTGAAACATTTTTCTTTTTTATTAAAAAACACAAAAAAAACAGCCTTATTGTAATTTTTGTGAGTTAAGTTTTGTCTTTTGTGCTGTTTTACAGAAAACAGTTTGTTTGAGTTGTTATTTGATCCTCATTCCAACACAGTGAAATGTTTAATTCACTTTTATGAAGAGTCTGAAATCTGACTGATTCCAGGTCTGTAGAGCTAAATATATAGTCTGAAGAATGATGTCATCTTTAGATCTAGGCCAGTATGATGTCATGTCTGGATGTTCTTGTAAAACGTGCCCCAAAACTCATAAAGGAAATATTTGGATTTGTATTTTTATAAAAGTTATTCTCTGCAGAATGTCTTAAACATTCTCTTATAGTTAATGTGTTTTTAAAATAATGTTTCCATTTATCACAAAGACAGTAGTTGTGCTTTTCATTGGTTTTTAAATGYAAAAACAATAGAATATTTCCATTTACATGTATGTGTGTGCATGTTCTGTTAGCAAAATATCTTCTGAATCACAGTTGAATATCTAGAACATTTAAAATGGCCAACACATCTAATCAACTTTAGTCTACACAAGAAAGAAGGGATCTCTGTAAATATAGATATAGATATAGATACAGTATACAGCATCTATATAGATATAGATATATCTATATAGATATAGATGTATCTATATAGATATAAGTATATCTGTAGATATTGAGCAGTTTGTTGTGGTGGTAGCTGACAGTCATCCACAAACAGAGAGCTCACAGCTCATGGAAGAAATTGTAATTATTTGATTTTGTCCATGAGATCTTTGTTAAGACTCAGTTAATAACTTCTGATCCTTCCTTCTGTCTATTGGTCTTATTTCTTATAGAAACTGTATTTCCACAGAGCAGAGCYACAGTCAGCTCTTTTTAAGGACGTCTCACAGTGTTTGAGAGAAAAAAGGTGAAACTAGACTGTTCCTCACCTGCTGAGGATCAGGGGGAACCTGACCCACGTTCAGCTGATCCTCACTCGAGCTCTGCTTTTCTTTTTCTTTCACCGTCTCATCGTCAGCCGCTTTCTTTTTGAACAGTTTGCCAAAAACGCGACGCTTCGACTCTTTTCCCTTCTTGACCAGTTCCACGCTGGAGGTCTCCTCCAGGATTTCAGAGGCCACGTCCAGGATTTCAGAAACCTCTCGGGTGGCGGCAGATTGGGCCTCGGGTTCGACGGCTGTACCATCAGTGGTTTCTGTTGGGGGCTCTGGAGACTGAGGCTCCTCATTCTGATGGACTGTGATGTCACTTTTCACTGCAAATACAAAAATAAAACTGTGATCAAAAGAATCCATTCACTTNCACATTGTTTAAATATTGCACATTGTTTAAATATTGCACATTGTTTAAATATTGCACATTTTGTATTGAAGTATGTGGATTATGCTGGTGTTGCAGGTGATCATTACAAAATTAAGTGTCCCACAGATGTATTTATTTCACAGCAGGTGAGTTCCTCGTTGATTGTAAATCCAGAGTCAGTGTGTGTGACAGTTCATTAAGGTGATGCTTTCAGGAAGAAGCTCTTCTTGAATCTGTTTCTTCTTGTTCTGCTGCACCTGTAGCTCCTTCCTGAGGGCAACAAGTCAAACAGTTCAGAGCCTGGGTGTGTGTGTGTTTGTTGTGTTACTAAAATATCTCATGAACCACTGCACCAATAATAAACCTCTCAGAGAATAATCATTGAATTTCCACCTGACTGATAAAACATTGGATTTAACTTAATCCAACCATAAAATACACTCCAGGATATATTTCAGTCAGTTGGACACAGGTGGGCAAACGTCTGCTAACAGAGGAACCAGCTTCTCATTTAGTGCGTTGGTGTTCTTGCTAACTGTAGAAATTGTTAGCAGACAGAATAACTTCCACTAAATAAAGTTCTGCTAATATAAAGTCCACTAAAATTCATTTGTAAAACTTTTATTTTCATGCCATTTATCCCAAAATAAATAAAAACTATGCTGTTGAAGAAATTTATTGTGGTTTGCTTATATACTGATCTTAATGACACTACACATGGTTTAGTCTTATTATTATTAGAACTGTAATATCTGTTAAATGTGATTATTTCTGTGGTTTTCTGTAGATACATGCCTGAACACAGATTCAACACACAACTCAACTGTTAATCTTCATTACGTCAGATTATTTCTGTCTGAGCATGGCTCCAGCGTTGTTAGGGACCACTTCCTGATGATGTAATAAAGTAGGCGGAGTCACGTCCTGTCCATCCTGTTATATTGAATGAACTGCTGTAAAACGAGGCCTGAACGCAGATAAATCTGAACACACAATATATTCTTTCACTCTCTTTATATGTTCACAGCTGTTTACAGTGGTAGGGCAGCTGATTTGGGACTGGAGAGTTGCCGGTTTGATTCCCTGCCATGCCAATGCTGGTGGGCAATAAACTTTTTTTCCTGTGCAGCATCAGCTAACACAAAAATGTCTATCAGTCAGTTTGACAGGTGCACAACTACAATGTGGTGTGCTGAAAGTCATGAACAGCACACCATGAGATGATAGTTTGAACAAATCACAACTCCATCAATCCTAATCTGAGCTTAATCTGAATCTAACAATCCTTCCATTCAATCTATAAACGCTGCAGTGACTGTTTCCTCCTGAGACC